GTTTATTCATACTATACATTATGCATATCTATCAAAAGCATATTTTATGACGATTTTCCAAGACAAAGTGTTAAGATCGATCATAAGATCAATAACTATTGCATTTTGAAATTTGTTGCTGCATATTTTTTAAAACAAACCTGTGGCTTTGCTGGCTTCGGGGAACTCAGCAGAGCCATTTTTTAAAATAATATATTTTTCACTGATTTGATATATCCATATTGAAGAGCTTATTTTAGGCTAATTATTTACCCTATTTTTGAATTTTTTGCTCAACGTTTCAAACAGAAAAAATACAAGACAATTCGTCGAAATACGCGTTTATTCACTATACATTATACATTATGCATATCTATCAAAAGCATATTTTATGACGATTTTTCAGACAAAGTGTTAGTATCGATTATAAGCTCAATAACTATTGCATTTTGAAATTTTTTGCTGCATATTTTTTAAAACAAACCTGTGGCTTTGCTGGCTTCGGGCGAACTCAGCAGAGCCATTTTTTAAAATATATATTTTTTACCGATTTGATATATCGGTATTGGAAGGTTAATTTTAGGCTAATTAATTACCCCCATTTTCGAATTTTTGGCTCAGCGTTTCAAACAGAAAAAAAAACGAGACAATTTGTCGAAATACGAGTCATTCACTGTTCATTATGTATTTCTATCAAAAACATATTTTATGACGAATTCATGAGGGAAAGTGTTAGTATTGATTGTACGTTCACTAACTATCCCATTTTGGAATTTTTCGCTACACATTTTTTAAAAGAAACCTGTGGCTCTGCTGAGTTCGTCCGAAGCCAGCGAAGCCACAGGTTTGTTTTAAAAAATATGCAGCAAAAAATTCCAAAATGGAATAGTTAGTGAACGTACAATCAATACTATATAACACTTTGTCTCGATTAATCGTTATAAAATATGCTATTGACATTATTGATAGATATGCATAATGTATAGTGAATTAACTCGTATTTCGACGAATTTTCTTGTATTTCTTCTGTCTGAAACGTTGAGCAAAAAATTCAAAAATAGGGTAATTAATTAGCCTAAAATTAGCTCTCCAATATGGATATATCAAATCAGTGAAAAATATATATTTTTAAAAAATGGCTCTGCTGAGTTCGCCCGAAGCCAGCAAAGCCACAGGTTTGTTTTGAAAAATATGCAGCAAAAAATTTCAAAATGCAATAGTTATTGAGCTTATAATCGATACTAACACTTTGTTTTGAAAAATCGTCATAAAATATGCTTTTGATAGATATGCATAATGTATAGTGAATTAACGTGTATTTCGATGAATCGTTTTGTTTTTTTTTCTGCTTGGTTTCTTTTAAAAAATATGTAGCCAAAAATTCCAAAATGGGATAGTCATCAAGTTTACAATCGATACTAACACTTTCCACCATGAAATCGTCATAAAATATGCTATTGATAGAAATACATAATGTACAGTGAATGACGCGTATTTCGACAAATTGTCTTGTATTTTTTCTGTTTGAAACGTGGAGCATAAAAATCGAAAATAGGGTAATTAATTAGCCTAAAATTAGCCATATGATCTCAATATATCAAATCGGTGGAAATTGTATGTTTTCAAAAATGGCTCTGCTGAGTTCGGCCGAAGCTAGCAAAGCCACAGATTTTTCTATGATAGAGAGGAGCAAGAAAATTGGGAATAGGGTAATAAATTAGCCTAAAATGAGCACTACATTTTCACTATATCAGATATTCAAAAAATATAGTTTTTCAAAAATGGCTTTGCTGAGTTCGGCCGAAGCTAGCAAAGCCACAGAATTTTCCATGATAGGGTGGAGCAAAAAATTCGGGAATGGGGTAATAAATTAGCCTAAAATGAGCCTAAAATTATGAGATGTGTCTCATGTTGAAAATCGAAAGTGGCTTTGCTAGCTTCTTTAGTATCTCTGTATCCACATAATCAGTACTTGACGAAGAAATATTATTTCGGTATAGTCCTCACTGTGTCAATAATGAGAGAAATATTCACCAGACTTTCTCCATTTTTGTATGAACTATGATATTTGTTGGTTAAGAAATACATTTTCATGTGAGGTTATGTAACGGATTTCATGAGTGCGCTCGAAATTCGGTCCAAATCATTAGTAGCGCGATCTGATGGAGAATCGAAATATGTTAGTTCTCATTGCTCACGAATTGGCACCGCCGATTAATAATAAAGTTACGATAAATATCTGGGTTCGGTCTTTCACAAACACTCAGTAGAAAGCTTGAAACGATTTATTCAAACAAAAATACCATACAATCTACAATACACTACATACAGAACGAGATACAGAATCACAATAAATACGTTTCTTTCTAATATAACATCAGAGGCATTATTTCAGTGAATACCAGGAGGGGGGGTCAAGAAACTCAGGAAAAATTTCGCAATTTGAAAAATGCAACGCAGGCAAAATTTTTCGCGGTTCAAAGTCAAATGCTTCAAATTGAAACTTAGATTTCTTTCAGAGTGACAACAACTCTCGCAATGACTACATTTTAGTGTATACTAGGAAGGGAGTCAAAACTCGGGTCAATGAACTCAAACAAAAATTTTGTATGATAAAAATGCTCCACAGACGAAAACTTTGTTGGAATTCGAGGTCCATTGCCTTAAAATTTGAAAATAAATTTCTTCCAGACTATGAAAACAACTCCATCACATTATTATATTATAAATTAATTTACATGTTCTGATCCGCTTCTGATCAGTTTGTTGCCATTGATATGAAAAAAAGGAACAATAAGAAAAGCAAGAAAAAAGTATTTATTTCTGACAGTGACATTATAAGCTTATATCGTCATAGTTACGATATCTATTATGAGGGTCATAACTCCCTTGGGATGTTATAGATGCTATAATTCCCTCTAACTAAAATTAAATAAGAAATGCATAGCAACAACCACGCAGTAACGTAACAATAAGGAATCTCCTATTCGCGGTAGTCAAGATCATCATCTGACGTTCTGATGACATTGAAACTATACGAAAAAAAATGTCTAACTTCCAATCGGGAAGGTATCTAATGAATGAAATCAGTCAGAAATAAAATTATCTATGTATCACGGGAATTACTGAGCCTCAATAACCTCAGGCAATTGCTGTCCCTCGGGCCAGAGGCCCTCGGGACGCAAACTTTGCCATCGGTAATTAAGGCCCTCATAATTCCCTTAATACATAAATAACTATTTGTATATTGTCTGTAGGTTACCCGAGCAGGTAGATGTTCCCTACAATTTTTTTGGAGCAAGGGATACTGACTCATTTTTTCAATTTAGCAAAATGATTGACAGATTCCCGGATTCACTTGAATTTTGTCATCGTATCTGAATCAAAAACTAAAATTAGTTAATCATCAGTCTATTGAAATTTTTACATTTTTGGAAAATCTACTTCCTCATCCAGATATTTTTTATGTATGATACCTAATTATACTGAATGATATTCCATCAATTTTAAAATATTTATTTTTCTAATACAATACGGGAGTCACAGTCATGCACATTGACACAAATGAAAAGTAGGTTCAAAAACATATATATTATTAGTTCCTGATGTCCACTGCTATGTGATTTTGCGTTTGCTATTCGCGATAGAAAATAAGCTATCGGAGTTGTTGAAAGCTGTGAAAGCGGCCTGTTTACTTTGTTTTCATTGGTTCACATTCGTTTTTTGTCAATGCTTACTGGTCATATCATCAAAACAAACCGCTCAGAAGTGTTCAAGTTCGGTGTGGATTCGGCGAACGGCCTGTATATCTACTCTTTCTGACTAATCAATGTCAAATAACAGTACACATTGTTATACATTTTGCCACTGAATTTTTCGCTGCCAAATAGCAGTACGAATTGCGTATGATAGGTACAGCTTGACCATTCTAGCTTGGCCTCTGAGAATTGGATGCGCAGTGAACCAGTCGGTGGAGTGGGGCGAGAGCTCATTAGTGTAGTGGATCTTTGTCGCACACTAACCATCTCTGTTTATCGTTTGCGCATCTCAGTGATCAAGAAGCACGTGCGTCTTATTATTGAGTTGAATAGTTGATCTTGATTTCAACATCATATTTTGATATGAATTTTTTTTCTAATACAAGACAGAAGAAGTTACTAACAATGTTAGTATAACAATTCACGCAGATTTACACAATCTAGAAGAATGTGATATGTGGATTCGATAATTTTTTAAGTGAAATCCCACGAAATGGATCGTACGTGAGAGTGCTCCCAATTTAAAACTTTTTGTGTGTTCGTCTACGGTTCACTTTTTATGAGGGCTTTGTCCAATATTTCCTTCTCCGTTGTTTACAACATCCCCCTCAATTTTCTTTTCATCACATATATACAGGGTGTTAATAATTGGAAATATTTCAACTATCGAATCCTGAGCTCCAAATATTGAGGTTCAAGATTCAACCCAAATCACCTGGATGAAATAGTTCTCCAGGGTGTTTACTTATTTTTGATGTGTGTCAATGTGCTGACTTTTTTCTGTTTCGTATTAGCATTATGCGAGGCATTATGATAACAAATCTTTGAAATACGTTCTCATACAGTTTTAATTTACACATGCATTTTATGGTCACTTGCACAAAGTACATGACTTTGATTCCACAATGGCAGAACTTACGCATATCAACCAATCAGAAAACGAAGATACAGGTTCTTTGCCAAATCCATGTACGTTGTGCTTATATGTGCCCGGGCGATGCGGGCTTACGATAACAGCGGGCGAGACGCCACCTGGTGGTAAAATTGTGAACCTACCAACTGAGTAGTTGGTGATGGATGCATCATATGATTTAATTAGTAATCGTCGTTGTTTTGGGTGTGTAATCCATATCCCTATCTCACAAAGCTCAAAAACGAATGGACCACACCGATTCATTGTAAAAAACTAGAAACATCACCCACAAAATTCCGCAAAAGGTAGTCACGTAACGAATTAACGATACATTGACGTTTACGTTTCAGATCCCCGTGCCTCTGCCAATATGCACGGAATGCCTGGGCACGGAGTCCAAGAACCGGCACGGCGCCTTCGAGAAGTTGAGCGGTTGCGACGAGTGTGGCGCTCTGGTCCATCTCACTTGCACAACTACGGGGCCGGAATTCGCCGCGCTCTTGGCCAAGGGGGCCAAGTGGGTCTGCGAGGATTGCAAAGTGTGCGACGGATGCGGTGAGTATCTCATTGAAAAGTATACGCCAACAATCCGGAACGCCAAACACGGATGAATGAATGAAATCGCGAATGGTGGGGATGACTCTACGAAATCATTGTTATCTCACGTGCACCACGACGGGGCCGAAATTCTCCGCTCTCTTGGCCAAGGGGGCCAAGTGGGTCCTCGAAGTGTGCGACGGACGCGATGACTATCTCAGACTAAATAACCAAAGATAGACACTGCGATGCATTAATGAATCATTGAAAAGTATACGCCAACAATCCGAAACGCCAAACACGGATGAATGCATGAAATCGCGAATGGTGGGGATAACTCTGCGGAATCATTGCCGGAGAATTGATAACGACGAGCGCGGCGCTCTGGTCAATATCACGTGCACCACTACGGGGCCGGAATTCTCCGCTGTCTTTGCCAAGGGGGCCAAGTGGGTCCTTGAAGTGTGCGACGGATGCGGTGACTATCTCAGACTAAATAACCAAAGATAGACACCGCGATGCATTCATGAATCATTGAAAAGTATACGCCAACAATCCGAAACGCCAAACATGGATGAATGAATGAAATCGCGAATGGTGGGGATAACTCTGCGGAATCATTGCCGGAGAATTGATAACGACGAGCGGGGCGCTCTGGTCGATATCACGTGCACCACTACGGGGCCGGAATTCTCCGCTGTCTTTGCCAAGGGGGCCAAGTGGGTCCTCGAAGTGTGCGACGGATGCGGTGACTATCTCAGACTAAATTAGCAAAGATAGACACCGCGATGCATTCATGAATCATTGAGAAGTATACGCCAACAATCTGAAACGCCAAACACGGATGAATGAATTGAATCTTGAATTGTGGGGATAATTCAGCGGAATCATTGTTAGAAAATTGATGTCAACGTGTACGGTGTTCTGGCCCATCTCACGTGCAACACGACAGGGTCAGAATTCGCCACTCTCTTGGGCAACGGGGCCAAGTGGGTTTGCGAGGATTGCAAAGTTTGCGACAGATGCGGTGAGTATCTCAGACTAAATAACCAAAGATAGAAACCGCGAAGCATTCATGAATCATTGAATAGAATATATCGATATATCGATAACTATCGATATATCTATAACTATCTAAAAATCGATAACTATCGAAAAATCGATAACTAGATAACTATCGATATATCGAAATATCTATATATCGATTTATAGATATATCGCAATATTGGTATATTGATGAAATGAGGATTATAAAGTTATCGATATATCGATAACTATCAATTTTTTCTCAGCATAATGTTTTGAATTTTCGAGATAGTTCTATCGTTCTATTGTCCATGAAATTGTGTTGCTTTACGGCATTATAACTTTCGTCTGGCCATCACAAAGGCTTTTAAGAGTCACACAATTAAAATGAGTTCAATTTCACCGATATGTATGTATCTTTATAATCTTTATATACCGATATATTGATGGTTATCAATGTACCAATATTTCGATATATCAATAAATTGATAGATGTCGATATATCGATATTCATCGTATTTATCGATATATCGATATTCACCGATATATCGATGTATTGATAGTTATCGACACTTATTGATATATCGTTTTATCGAACTTATCTATATGTTTTGACTCATCGATAATCGATATGTGAAATCCAATATCGCCCAGCCCTACCAACAATCCGAACGGATGAATGAATTGAATCGCGAATGGTGGGGATAACTCTGCTGCTACTGTTTAGTGTTCCAAAATTGTTTATTGTGGCCAGTAATGCCAGCAATATCTGAACATGACCCATATCGATTCGTTCCAGGTAACAGCGGCGTCTCGACGTGTCTGCTGTGCTGCTGCGACTGCGAGCGGAACTACCACCTCGACTGTCTCGATCCGCCGGCGGAAAAGAAGCCCAAGTGTCCGTGGCGGTGTCGGTACTGCCTCGGTCATCATCAGAATGCGCCGAAGGCGAGGAAGAGCGAGCCGGGCAGCGCGGTTAGAAAAAAGATCGACAAGGTTCGTGAGAAGTTGAAGGAGAAGAACCAGAAGTGAGTATACTTCTTTTACTCGGTTCATGCATTGGATCAGGGTTGCCGATTCGTGAGTATAATTACTCACATTTCTTTTTTTCGGTGCGTTCTTGAATCCTTCTATGTTTTTTGGGGAGGGACAGTTGTTGGGTTTTGGATTCAGTAAATAATTATGTTTTTATAGTATCATTTGAAACGTTTTGCCTATCGCCAATATCGCCATAGGCTTTTTCAGTCTTTATATTTTACATAAAATTTACTGGCCTGAAAACAATGGAGTAGATAGAGTCTAGTGCTGTGTGCGTTTTATAATTTTTGTTAGGCCTATCAGTATGTACGTACCTCAACCAGAGCTATTTCTTTAGTAGCATTTTTTGTTTGTATTTTTCTTTTTTGTTCATAATTAATAATTCGTTTGCTTTCGCTATCTTCAATATTGGGAATTAAGGAGAGTGTGTTCAATGTTTTTTTCTCTACACAAATTACAGGAATAAAAATAACATTGAACACGCTTTCCTTAATTCCCAATATAGAAGATAGGGAATGAAAATAAGTTTTTCATTATGAAAAAAAAAAGGAAAAACACAAACAAAAAATGTTACCAAAGTAATAGCTCTGGTTGATGTACGTACCCAACAATTCCTGCCAACTGATAGGCATAACAAAAACTATAAAACGCACACAGCACGAGACTCTATCAACTCCATTTTTTCCAGACCAGTAAATTCTATGTAAAAAATAAAGATTGAAAAAGCCTATGGCCGTAGGCAAAACCTTTCAAATGATACTATAAAAAAATATTATTCACAAATTCATGATCTGTAGGGAATCATGTCATTGTTAGACATTGAACAGCTGATGGAGGGGACAAGCATAAACATTTTCCATTATGGTACATGTTACTTTATTGCACATTTCCCACTATAATACAATACCTGGAGTATTTATTTATTGATATGTTTGTTAATTCACTCATCCTGAATACTGGAGGAAAAGAAAATAAGTCCAATGAAAAGTTTGAATTGTTTTTTTTTCAATTTAAAATTACTGAATTCACTTGAGTTCGGCTCTAATATACCTGGTAATATGTATATATATATATATATAACAGTAAGCTTAGATTCAAAACCCAGGTCAAATCTATTGTTGGTAAGTGTTACTCTTCATTGAAGAATCCTAGGAAGAATCTATATCGCAGTAGATCTTTCATCAATGTATCCTTGAAAAAGCAACTATGTGATTTGGTATATGGTCCATGCTTGGATGCAACTTCATCAGCAATAATTCAAAGAATTCAGAATTTCTGTATCAGGTTCATTCTCTCACTCAGAACCAGAGACCACATATCTCATAAACTTAGCTAATTGGGATGGCTCAATATGTTCAATAGGCGTAAATCTACAACATTTATCAAAGACCACGTGACCATGTTCGTATGCAACAATACATTTTTGTTATCATGTTTACTCAGGTAACATCATATTTTGTCATATTTGCACCTTGGATCATTCATGGCTGTAGTTTCCAGTGTTAACGTTCTGTGGTTCACGTCCTTCACAATTTGATTGGCCCGTTAACTTGTCAACTGTCATAGCAGCCAATGGCTTGCCTTGTTTACAAAAATTAAAAATAGGAAAGTTGGATTGCGAACCTGTCTCTTCAATTTTGTGTTTTCGAAATTTATATACTGCACAGCTGTAGCTCATTAGCACCCAGTAGCGCTTTGTTGTCTTTTCTCCTGGGTTTGTTGATAGTTTATATGGTTCTTGATTTTATTTTATTGTTCTTGCATTTGATTATTACACTCATAATTATTACTTCGCGAAAAACAGTTTTTCATTTAAACTACATCTCCAATTTATTGTTGTGAGAAGGTAAGACCAATAATTAACCTCTTGTTTTTATTGTTCATGCCATTCAATGATATATCGTTGCAATTCACTTGATTTCCTCAGTTTCGTTCTCAAATTTTCAATTTAATCACGTAATTGTGCAATCAATTCATTCTATAATAATGCATTCTCAAACGGATCTTAATATATTCTGTTTGAAAATTGACCTAAAATATTGTTTGATTCTAATCTGCTGTTATAAAAAGTGAATTTTAATGTATGTACCCACCTCACAAATTTTGCTTGTCTTAAATTTAATTTTCCAGCCAGGCCGTTTCATACATTTCTTCCATATGAGAATGGGATTGATATTTCCTTTTGACGAAATAAATAAATGAAATCAATTCTCTTCACAGGACATTACACAGGACATTTGCAATCAATATTTCCTCTCAATAGTTTATGGAATTATATTTCAATTCCAACGTTCATAATATTTATTGTCAAATTCGAACAATTTTAAATGAAAAAGCGCGGAACGACTTTGGTGCTCTTGTCACAATGCAAGGTGTGTAACTAAATTAATGTAAACTTTCAAAAAACACTAACAGTTGTCATTTCTGTGTCCGAACTCTTATATAAGTAATACTAGAGTCACTAATACCATCCAGTGACTCTAAGTTTATCCAAAGGTAATTGGAGCGGCTCGAACAAACGAATGTCCTCACCTGTGCTTACTTCAAAAGGACTTCCAAACCCGCCGACATCGACTATACTAGATTCTGAAGGCCCATGAAAAATACTTCACTTCTGCCCATTTGAACGTTTCTGTAGGGCCCATATTAACTGAGATAGCTATTGAGTAAAGAGTAAACAATTACCCTGTACATGTTGTCTATTACGTCCATAGTCTACACCTTCAGGGGTTCTAATTATGTATGACCATGGTGACGGGCCAACTTGAGAAGCTGGGTCCCAATTCGATGTAGGTGCCTTCTTATAAAATATTTCACCAACAGACCACTGTTTATCAATTTTATTATTATCAGTAGTAATACTATAAGTACTTCAAAATATCCGGGTTATACATGGATAACTTGTTGCATAATTATTCCAAAGAGTGTCAGTTTCACAGTTGAAATAATCCGACAGCGAAGTGGATGGAATATTCCGTTCCATCAAGTAACGACCCAGTCCTTCAAAAATAAACACCACCAAAATCCACCCAGTTTTTATGATACAAAGAATTCTATCAAATCATTACCTTTCAGATCAAAGGAAAGTGCGACAATTTCGACACCGACTTCAGCACCTTCAGTTATCCCCACCGACCAAGACAACATGAATTGCAAGAATCAAGATTCCACACCTTTCGACGAGAGCGACGCTGTCAGCGAGAATGAGGGTACGCCAAATCCCACCAGAAACACACATCCTCTTCATAAATCCACTTCTACTCCCGTCCCCCATGACACAGACCAATTACTGCAGGCCAACGATCGCATGTCCAAAGAAAAACAGAAGTTTTTCAGAAGTTCTGTCTTCAACGAGGAAAAGAAGAAGATCAAAAAATCTCAACCTTCGAGAAAGTCCACTAGAAACGACAATCCCGAGAATAAAATGGCTGTTGCAAGTGATCAGAAAGTTGAAGCCGTTAAAAACTCAGAGAACAATGCTTCGAAAACTAGATCGAATAAAAAAGTAGCAACACACAAGAAAGATGACACTAAACAACAGACAAAACCGAAACAAACCAAGAGAAAGCCAAGCCCGAAACTTCAAAACCCTGAAGAAGAGGGAGAAGAAAGTGCCTTGGACGAAGAAGAAGATAGCTCATCCGAGGATGATTCTTCTTCCGGGTCCTCCTGCTCCTCAGAATCCGATACAGACTCTTCCGTCGCCAACTCAGATTCCATGACGAGCATCAGAAACGTCAAAATCCCGGAATCTTTTTGCGCGAATAGCGACACCAAAAAGACCTTCGGCACTTTAGGGGGCATCACCGTAGACAAAGACACCCCCTGGGGCTTCGCTGCCGAAGCCAACAAAAAACCACCCGACAAACCCACCGAGAATCTTTTTATAACAGCCCTGAAAGAAGAAGGGCTGATCAAAGACGCCGAAGACAAGGCTCCGGGCTTCGGCCAGTTGAAGGGGCTATTTGATGGCCTTTCGCATTTTTTTTCGGCCCCTTCCGAGAGCAGAGCCAGTCGCACTCAGCCCAACTACAACCCTAACAGAAGAAAACAGAAGCAGGAGGAAGAAGAAGTCGAAGACGCGAAGAGCAAGGACGAGGAAGTAGAGACACCGAGAAAGACCGATGCGAAAGCGAAAACCGAGAAAGCGAAAAGCAAGGTCGCTTGTGAGACGTCGAACTCGAAGGTAGAGACTAAGGCCGAGGTAAAAATGTCGGATCCGCCCGAGTCAGCGCCATCTTCCCCTAGAAGCGAGCTGACGCCTTCGGGATTGGTCAAGACGGCCGTGAACTCGAAACAGCACGAGACTAGGAAGTCGATAAAGTCGGAGAGTGCAAAGGGCAGTGCGATATGCGCGCCACAAAAGGCGAAAAAACGCGGTCAAAGTTCGGCTGCTGATGTCTCGTTTAACGACAGTCTGACGGGTAAGAGCTTAACTTGACACACCTGCCATTTTATCATGTCTATCGCGTCCTGGAACCTCTCCCACACCTCACCGGTACCCGAATATGGAACACCTTTTTCTTTTTTGTTGCATGCCTGGTTTAGTTCATGTCACCGTTTTTGGCGTCTACGTCATTATCACGCGAACTGAGTAAACAGTTAGCGTTATATAGGGTGTGTAGATACTCCTACTTCATATACAGTATAGGCAGCTTAGGGGAATATCGGATTACTATCAGAAAATATTTCCTCTATAGGGTGCATATGGACTTGGACTTTCCAACAACTACTTCAATGTTGTCATAAAAATTCCACCAAACCGCGCTACTGAAACGTGAGGTTAGAGTTGGTAGAACTGATAAATATACTTTTCCGTTAATGTGAAAATTGGTTGTAAAGTTCCACATTGAGATTAAAAAAAAAACGTAAGTCTGCTCAAGTCTTTCGAGAACTTGTTGTTCTACAAAATTTTTTCACTATAATGTTATGAAGGGAACAGTGGCGTCCGCAGAAATAATCTCAGGGAGGGGCAAGTCACAATAAATAATGTACAGTATTCAGAACATATAAAAAACTGTTTTTGCACGACCTATAAGCGATTTTACTCTCTCTGTATATAATCTACTATTATTCTACATAAAACATGGAATGAAAAAAAAGAAAATTAATTGAATTGACATCACATAGGTATTCTGTTTACAGCCAGAATTACAATAAAAAATTGCACGTGATAATAATCAAAATTTTGTTCAAACAAAAATGGCATTCTTATAGAGTATTTGATAAAATTAACTCTATATCTATCTATAAGATGTGAATACAAAATTAAACAAAGTCTCAGAAAGTCACTATAATAAGCGCTAATCAGAATAGGAATTGAATAATGCAAAAGTATCTTGTTTAGAAAGTATCTGAGTAAAGACCAGACGCTAGGGGGGGGGGCTAGCGCCCCCCTTGCCTCCCCCTTCGGACGCCCCTGGAAGGGAAGTTGAAAACATTATCCTGACCACATATTTATGGAGAATATTTAATACCTATTGAAAATGCTATTTCAATACCTGTGATTTCAAACGTTACTGAGCTGTTATGTCAGTGTCTTCTTGCAATTCGATTGGTTGGAGTTCTGACAGATGGGAATCACTCCGCTTTTGCCTGCTCTCTATAAAATCCTTTAATTGATTATGTCTGCAAGATAGTGCAAGGAATGCAATGATTCAAAATTACTATGTAGTAGGTGATTTGGTAATTCACTGCTGATCACATTCAATTTACTCCGAACTCCAGAGTATTTCATCAGTTTCAAGATTAGCTAGGATAAAATGTAATGCAGGCATCTAACAGTAATACGCTTTTTATACACTTAGTTTGGTTTTATTTATTTTGAAAATTCGTTGACTAATTGTTATAATCAACAAATCTAACAGTGTTACTATATCACAAGCACTCATTCCGGGAAAAATTAATTGCTAATCTAGCAACTTTGTCTACAATAGAAAGAGATGAAGCAACTGGCGCTAACACAATGTTCCAATTTGAAAATAACTCATTAACCGCATAACTCCACTGTTCTTATTTCTCAATATTATTGACAAGATGGCTTGTACTGAAATCGGTTGAAAAGGAACCAAGCACTTTAGTTTAGATTGATTCAGAATTTTGTTTATCCTATGGGAGATAGGTATAGGTAGGTACATAAGAGTACTTCACTGGAAGGGTTTGGAAACTGAATGTCAAGAATATCTGCACTGTAAATCAATACAAAATGAATTTTCACTCACAATTTTGAATAATTCTCCAATAAAAATCAACAAACTGACTAATCATGCAACGCAGATCTTTAATACCACGAATTTTCAGGTGAGTAGTTGTTAGTAGAGTTATCTAACAACATCTGCACTATTTACTAAAATGAAAAAAATCGAGGAATGAATATCCGACTAATCACAGCTTTCTGTCCGAATTGGCAACATCGGCACCCGCAAGACGACCGGAAATCACCAATCTAAATTGCTCGCGCACTGATATCACACGTTCCGCGGCCATGTCTGATCGTTTGAATTCGCTGGTTGGTTTTGGCGTTTTCGATAATTTTTCATACGATAAATTGAAGAAAAAAATATTTCAAAAAATTCTCTGAATAGCCATATATTTGAAGAAATATTTTCTGTAGAAATGACTGGAAATTACCATTGTTCTTATCCATCATTCGGTTGCCCCCTTACGAGTAACCTTCAATAATCTTCAAGAGACTTGTGCGCGCAAGAAATGACGTGGGTCTTACCTTTTAACGTGTGATCCCAATCACTTACTTAGGCCATCAAAAAATACCAAAGAAGGGAAGTGTTGTATTTTGCACGAAATACAACACTTCCCTTCTTTGGTATATATTTATACATGTGCACACAGCCAAGCAACCCTCTCATCAAAAAAATGTCTGCGGTCGTTGTGGGAATCGAACCCACCTACCGGCAATCCAAAGTGGATAAAATACTGACGCTTCAACCACGAGGCTACGGTGGCCACCTTGTCTCTTACTATTGGTTCAAATATTCTCAATAAGTTTTTTCGAATATTTTCGATAGAACAGGCCATAGCCTTCATGGCTATCCGGCAAAATTTTGGGATTTTTGACTGCGACATTGACCTCACGTTTTAGTAGCGCTACTGGTGAGACTAAAAATATTAGCCCTCATTGTTTATCAATCAACTGACATATTCAGAATGAGGAAAGTCAAGGACCTGTCTCAAAAAATTTCACTGGCAGGTGTAAATGTTCAACAGTTGTCATATTAAATTTTCAAATAAAACAGGTAGGTAACAAAAGTGAGCTATTCAAAATTATTTCCACATTTCAACAAGAGAGGAAAGTTTGCCATTGATGATAATCATTATCATAATATAATAATGACATTTTTTCAAATTTTTTAATGATATAAAATAGAAGTAGAACGTTTTGATGAAAATCAGTGATAAAATGTGGAATATGCATATAAAATCAGTGAAAATATTAGACATACACTCAATAAAAAAAATGTTTGAGTTATCCTTTTGAATGTTCATGATTTTTTGCAAAACCTGTTCATTTCAAATACAGTGCTTTGAACATTGGGTGTTCTTACTTTCCATCCACTGGTAAAGAAAAAATTGAGTTCTCGAATTTTTTAAATACACAGTTTGGCTCTAATTTATGAGCACCTTGTAGGATATTTTTGAAACCTTTAAAACGATTTGAGTAGTTGTAGGTCTCATTTATGCAGATTCTGAAAATATAAGGCCTTAACAGCTGTCATTTCGAAAAATATATTTTTTCAAGTTCTGCAGCATTATGCCGATAATTTGATAATAACTGATAAATGCCATTCTCTAGACATATAATGTTCCCAATGAATGATTCTAGCATAGGTTCTAAAAAATTAATGATAAATAGTACATTCCATTCAAAATAACGAAGTTGAGGTCCATCTTTGGCATTAACTGAAAATATTTCAGTTGAAATGAGCACTTTGGAAAAAGCCCGTTCAAAAAAATTCAGAGAACTGGTTTCAGCTTGTTGTGAAATACCCTTCTGTTAGAAAAAGCATGAATATTCCTGATTGTAAGTTATCATATAAATTAGTTGGCATTGACAATGACATTATGACATAACCTATAATATTTTTCCATATTCAAAATGGTATTTTCCACTCTTTTGTAGCAAATGATCGTATAATATACTATTTCATTTCTACTATGTTTACTTTACTGTAGCTCCTTGAATGATATTGTAGATACTACATCACTCTCTCTTATTGCCTACTTGAGTACTGTGAAAATTCCATGTACAGAGCAAACTTTTTGACACGAGAATTTGTTAGCAATATTCTTGGCAGGTGGTCATGGATTTTCTCAATTCTGAATATATCAGTCGATTTACAAGAAGTAGTATAATGTTCATGAGAAAATGAGATGACTCAAAGTAACTGCTGGAAAGTTATAACTCTGAGGGTCATTTTGATCCCTGCACAGTTCCTCATGACTCACCCTGTATTATCAACCGTCTGGTAAATGAGTCCGGTTTCCTCATAGCAGACGTCAACGTCTTTGTGTTGATAAAATCATTGAATAAGAGAGATATACGCCGAAATTAATTCGCATTTCAATTTAGGTAAACACCAAGAACGGTGACATGAATTATAATTGTCTAACTTTTTTGATTTTGTGTATTCTTCTGCTTAATCTGGACTGACGGCTGAATGTAGGGGAATATCCTGGATTCTGTACAGAAAAAAGTGATGTTTTGGCTGCACAGAGAATAGATAACATCACAAATATTGATTAATGCTTTCAATCATTTCCACACCATTTAACAACCCTTCAAGTCCTGATATGCATAAATATGTTCATGATTTTCAATAATTATTTTCCGTTTCCAAAATTTTGTGGCTTTCAGAGGAGAACATAATAATAGGAATGATTGTAACGACTAGCCAAGCTGTTCATCATCATCCTTTGAGTAATGTGAGTGGTGATACTGTTATAAATAATAAAAAATCTTGTATCAAAATGATGATCTAGGACGTGAAATATTCGTCTCCATGAATAACAATTATTGGTATTATTGGTATATTTGTAATAATGACCAATCAGATGAATTGACCTTAAATGACACTGCTTTGAATTTCACTATTAGAAACCTGAAAGAGACATTCAATCAATTCAGCAAAAATTGTTTGAAGAAAAAAAAAATAACCTAGTTATATGGATATATATGAAATTTCACTTATCTTTGTAATTATGCAATTTTCAATATACTCTCGTGATACATATATAGCCGCACTAAACTTGCTTTGCTTTATTCATACAACAATATTCCACAAATACAACAATTATATTTAGAAACATCTAAATACGTTGATATTTTGTGGACTTTTTTTCCAGAATTTTCTTCAGAAATAGCCATCAAGAGCATAGGTAATTAATACTCTATATGGAATTAGCCAAT